AGAGCACCCTCGCAAAGAATGATACTAGCGCTGCTGGATTTATCAACAATATCCAGCCGAGATGAGATTTCCAGACATTCGAGGTCATTACAATGCAATTTCTTCTTTTTTTTTTGTTACAAAACTCTTGCAATGTATTTCCATCTCGAAGACGTCGCAAACGAAGTCGACACAGACAAGTAATATCTTTCGGCATCCAGAAGCCTTGATCAGGTATTAGTTTGTGCTGTATTTGATCCACCGAAAGATAGAAAGATCTTAACACTATCAATGAATACATCTGATGAACAGCTCTGCTGGACATGGCATCTTTGGTACAACACTGAACGAGAAACCATAAGGCACGCCAGGATTCGTGCAGAGACTATAAGAGAGGCTTTTGCGTGGACCTCTAACATCTGGGCAGCGTAGCGACTGTCTGTAACCCGAGCGGGAGTAAGAGAGATGGGAGTTGTGGCTCTCGCAGAGGACCGCTGGGATCATGTCGAAGGCACGTCCACTCGAAGCGTGGAGTCTCTGATCTGGGCTCCTCGGCGGAAGCCAGGGGAGTCTGTGGAGATGATGCGGAGGGCACAGCGTGAGGCGGGCGACCGAGCAGCGATCACTTCCCGCTCTGCGCAGTCGAGGGACCGCGTGCTTGAATGCTTGCCAGCGATCATCCGATGCGAGCAGCCTCCTGTCACCACTCTCTGCCCTCTTTTTGCCTGGGGTCTTTCGAGTACGACGAGTTCACAGGAACCTGCAAGCTCTGAGTGGGTAAAGCTGTTACGGTGGGTGAGATCTGGCTTCGAAAATTGCAGGAGTATATATATATGAATGGCCCAGCCTTGACCATCAGAGGCGTCGAGAAATGGCATTCTGAGATGCCATGAGATCGTTGCATATGTGCAACAGCCCAGGCCGCGCTATGAACTAAGAAAATGAAGTTCGTTCCCCAGACAAGAAGAGATCTGAATAGATTCTGGACTATTTGAGTTGTGATTCTTTATCATCATCCGGCTCTAGGGATGGTCACGGCTCGGCTAAGCCGGTAAGGCGACGAACAGAATCACATAAGGAATCTTGACAGCTATCATTTGGTCCAGATGACAGCATTGGTTACTTCTTGGCCCAGAAGCTAGTTTGCGCTCGAGAGTTCAGACCAGCTTCTGTACTCAGACGACGCGCTATAGAGATAATGTCGATATCACGGTGAGAGAAAATTGATGAATTCCAATCCGAGAGAGACGTACTTGGCAACAGCGTTCTGACCTGGGAGTCCTTCAACCAATAAACTTGCGCAAATCAGATTATAATCAGGCTTCATTCTTCGCATAGGCCAACCTAATTTCTTTTAGAAAGAAAAGAAGTTTACAGTGTAACAGGCAATTGACATGGTATAATTCAGTTTTCCTTGTTGCAGAAATTATGTTAGATCTATCAAAACGAAACCGCCTCCTTAATTAAATAGAGCACCGATTGCAATAGATTGTAAAGAGATTTTGATCTCATATAGTGTGCAGAGACAGAATCATATTATTGCCCATTTGTGCATATTTTTATCACAACAGTAATCGAATGAACTAGACAAAAGCATTCTATTATAGATTTGAGACAGAGTTACAATCCATAGTTGCATATGGATTCAGTCCTAGAATGAAATCTACAAGATCACCCAAAGTTTCACTCCTTGATCCATCATCTGCATCAGTTGCCAATGTCTTCGGCTAATTTTGTTGGCTTCCCCATATCTATTTAAAAAGTCCACATAAACCTCTTGCTCAGAGACTTCTAGAGCTCGAAAGATCTTCCGTATGTGTTCCAAGTCCATAAAGTTTCTTGCGATGATACCAAAACACATGTAAATCACCTACGTGCTACAGGCCAGCTGGGTCACCAAGTAAAAAGGATTATATTCTTGCGATGCTGCGGAAACACATGTACATCACCTATGCAAGTGCAGCCTAGCTACATTACCAAGCAAATAAATTGACAATTACGAGATCCCAGAGTTATTTTTTTAAGCTCGTTCAATAGTAGCTTCCATGAACGTAGCTTCATGGTAGTCTCCATAAAGTTATAGAACAAACGAAAACACTCGATGCTGACAATAACGCAACTTTCCAAATATGTTAATTCAGACGGCACCAAAGATCCCATGCACATTAAAATGTCGCATGCAACAAGTGTTAATTGTGGAAAACGTTTTCGGCCAATGCTTGACCACAAATCATGCAATGATGTATGATTTGTTTCTCGTCCTGTTGAAATGCAAAAAGTTCTTGATCTCTTTGGTGACATCATCCCATTCACTGTTCAATTCAAATGCCAGAGCTCCCACTCCACAAGTAGCAATAAGCATGCTTCGGTTACTATTCTTAAACGTCGAAGAAGCAACATGTTCCTCAAAGGGCCTATTTCTTCTTCGGTCTTTGGAACCGCAAGATTGAGGGTTAGTGCCAGCATTGGTGGCGGGGAGTTAAGTTCTCCTAATACTTCTTCAACTTTAGCATCAACTTTGACTCCGGTGCAGTGAAACTAGTACTCATCGTTCCATTGATGATATCTTGGCAATGAGTCTTCACCGATTCATAAACTAGAGGTTGATTAGATAATGTTACATATCGTCCGGTGCAGTGAAACTAGTACTCATCGTATCATTGATGATATCTTGGCAATGAGTCTTCACCGATTCATAAACTAGAGGTTGATTAGATAATGTTACATATCGTCCGCTAGATAATATAGTGATCTCGTAGACGGAATAAGAAAATCTGTGAAGCACTTCAATACCTTACATTCATTTGAAATCAAAGTTAAAATCTTACCATAGTGTTCAAACATTTTTGACAAAGATTGAAAACCCTCTGTCAACCTGTAATACTAATCAATCATCATGAACATCATGATCTATCGGATCTCAATATCAAGCGCAAGATGATAAGCGGATCTTTTTGGCATTGCGCGAAGTTTGTCCATTTTCGGTTTAATTATTGCTTTGTTATCAATTAGTGCACAATATAGTACACACTGCGAAGGTGCTATCTGTCATGAAGATTAACATGAAACTTATTCTTCAGTTTGTTCCGTGGATGCTATAAACCAGGAAACACTTCAATCGCATTGTATTGTAGGATGTTGCACCTAGAATTTTTGTGTGCATATTTATTGCTTTTAATAATTTCATAATTAGCGCCATAGTAAATCAATGATTATGAGTTGGTAAAATATATTCACAACCAAGAATACAATCGCGTAACACCAAGTATTCATCTATCCAATGAACGGTAATAACAAAGTAACTTCTCAAAGTCTTGCTGGAATAGTGGTAATCACTTGCCACTCTCCCTGGAATCGATTTTACAATTTCACGAAACTGTTGGATTACAGTAATCATCTCATCTGCTATGGCACGGGTAAGGGTTGAACGCGAACATCCAGGCGAAGAACAATTGACAGCGGTCATGATTCGTATGCACGAAGCTGTCGATACTTTCGAACTCTTGCTCACAAAGCAAAGGAGACTATCTGATCCTGGTACATCTACAAAATACGGACAAACCCAAAATTTCGCTTTTGTATATCTGTCGTGGAGCCGTGGATGATACAACCACTGAGGCTGAGGGTAAAAATGCTTTAGAGTCTTCATCCGACGACATTAGTATCAAGAAAAACACAACCTGGTCTACCATCTCACTGGCATGTGAGATTTCTGGTAAGCAAGGTTTGTACTGCACAGATTGTAAAACCTCGATGTCATTCATGTCTTGTCTTCTGCATGACTCCCCAAAACACACCACCAAAGCAAGATAATAAAAAACTCTCACTACTACTTTCGTCTGCAAACCACAAAACAGATATATATCACGTTTCACTGTTATCTCTTCCCAATGCTCTCACAAAAATTAGATCTTTTTTTCCACTTCTCTCATAGAAGTTTGACATCTCTTTCTAATGCTTCGCAGAAGTTCATGCTTCACTCTTGAAATCTCCCACCATTTCTCCATATTTGTTCGCGGTTCACTGTCGATCTCTCTCACAGATATTCCATTCTCACTTTTCTCACAGAAATTCAAAAACTCAATTTCAAAAAGTTTTGAAGAGAATAAAAGTAACATTCGAAGTTCAGAAAAGCTCCCACTGGCAGCTGGACAAAGAGGCACATAGCAGCCCATTACGCGATCTCGACATGTTTCGGAATCTACTAAATTCGTGGCTAGCTAGCTAGCTGAAAGTTAGCCGGCTATGTGACCATCCCTATCCGGCTTGACTATCCCAAGAGTGGTCATCTACTATCTCCAAATATCACTCCCACCAATCAATCATAAAGGCAACACCAAATTGAGAAACCGATAATCAATTTATCCAAATCCACAGCCCATGGACGAACATTTGGGTTTCTTGGAGATCATTCGTACTATACGGCCCGTTTGTTTCCAAACTTTCGTTGAATTCTGATTAGGATAGTAACTCATAAAATTTAACACCTGCAGAGTTGATAAATAGTATTACATCTTCCATTACTACTATTTATCCAAAAACTTAATACTCTCACTTCCATGTAGACTTGTATCTATTGCAAACTATAGTTTTTCATGTAAAATTTTGCAAACTTGTTAGATTTACCAATTTCATCGATATGAAATCAATCAACCATAAACCGTGACGGAATGACAGTGCAACCATCGTTAATTCATTGATAACATCAAATGATGATGAATTTACCTACCCTTCAATTAGAGGCCTCTCCTTTCTCCATGTAAACCCAATTTAAGTTAGATATCAGTCACTACCAACAGTTGATCACAATAGACTATTATAAACCATCAATTTTCCAATCCAATAGGTAATGAGCATAATTGTGTTGATTTGATCCTTGTTATACGTAAATAAGAGATCCAGAGAGTGACAAAGGAAAGCAAACTCTATTGTTGTAAACTGAGAAAAGAGGTTTAATTTTTTTTACTCATATCATTTCACAATCTGGTGATATTGGGATATAGTATTTGACAGAGTTTAATCTTCAAGTAATGCATGGTGTACTTTTTCTACCACTTAACTAGTTCACAACATACTTCTTTTTTTTATACTTCCTATCATGTATGTATTATCTTTAATTTATGTTAGCATGCACAAGCTTTGCATAAATTCTAAACAATTGAAAAAAAAATGAATTTATGGCATCGTGTTCTTATAAACTTCTACCAACCATGGTAATCAAAACAACTGATAAAGTGCAGACCACCATGATCTAATTACAACACAAATTATTCACATATAGTTGGATAATATATAATAATTATGCTTCGAAGTGAATATGAATGTCATAACAAAAAATGTTAAGACTATTATTTCAAAGTGTCAACACAAGGATAAGGATAATATCACAATTGCGGTTTGACTAAAGCCTAATATATCATCAACTGATCGGAGATGTGTCAAGCTAGATAGAGTTTGAAGTATGTAAGTTCAGTGATTAGCCTTATCAAACATTATTTTTCAAGTAAGTCTAATCCACAAACATTGATAGCAGTTCAAAATTGGATCAAACACGTCAAATTCCAATTTCACGTCCTCTTCAGAGCCTCATAAGAAATTAGGCGCTGGACAAGAAACTTCACCGGCAGTTGCTGCTGCAGATTCTTCTGTTGTTGTTGCTGCTCTTCCTGAGGCTCATTCTGCATGATTATTGTTGCAACAAAGAAACACGACATATTTGACAACCTCTGCAAATCGTTTCATCAATTCGCATACGTATGCCATCAGAGACATCAGACATATTCTCAATCTAGAAAGAGGACGGGCAAGGTCATGACTATTCTCTTACCTGGTTTCAACGATTTCCTGAGGACCCATGCTTCCAAAGAAAGCATCTTCAACGATATCCTCCGCAAGTAATCTTGCTGCAAAATCAGTGGCAGGTATTTTATCAGCCTAGTCACTCCAGAAGCAATCCAAAGCCTTCAAATTGGATGTCTTTGCAAGCTGCTGGCAACCTAGACAATAAGAGAATAAAGATGAATTGGTATCATGAGAGATTCGCTCACTTAAATCCAATGACAACAAGACAAAGATCATACTTTTTTTCAAACAACCAACAACGATAAAGTGATTACGTGAGTAAAATCCCAGTGTCAACCTCTCACCATGAATGACTTCACTCGCGGCATTTTCAGTCACAAACTCTTGGTTCTAAAATTTTGTAAATGATGTGCCTGAATGAAAACAATCAAATGAACAAAACTAGAGTAAAGTAAACCATCAGCTGCACGGTCTGCTGAATGAGGAGGGAAAAACATAAATAGTTAGATAAATACCTGGTCCGTCGCTGCTTGGTAAATCTTTTCCTCAAAACGCCAAGCTATTTTCAACAATTCCCCCATACTTTCCTGCCCAATAGGCGGTAAGTGTCTTTGAAGATTATCCATTCTGCAATGGAAGGTATACAAAGAAGCCAGAAATTTGAGCCACAGAACCGGGATAAATTTCAAATAACGGTAAATTGGTGAGATGAGGGACATAAATTGCTAATCTCTTCTGCACAACCAGCAATAAAAGTAAACTTACATGCGCTTAATTATCTTCTGCCTGTAGTCATGAGGAAGGAAATTCCTCCAATTGCTACTATCCATTGGACGCAGCCCGTCAATGCTCGCGTAGTGTCCTTCGCAAGATGACTTTCAAGATAGGAATTGGATTCAGGAAGACCTCATAGATGTAGCTGAAACAGTAGGCCAAGGGAGAATGTCACCAGATCTCGTGACCCCAACAGCGATATATTGGGCAGTGCCAATCTGCGACGCAAAACATTCAAAGGTAAATGTTAATTCTTGGGCAGCACAAAGGACGTGCTACAGCTGGGTAACGTGGCATGATTTTACGCATACCCCTGATATCAAAATTTGCAGATCAAAGCCTTCGTACCGACGATATCCACTTCTGTCAAGTGTTTCTTCAATATACCATTTACTTTAACTTAGCACCAGGTACTAGATAATCTTATCCCCCTTCAATTCTTTCACCAGTTGCTCCCCTAGTCTACAACGCACGTCCACAACTGTCTGCCTGATTTTCACTTTAAAGACGTCAAGATTTCCTGGTCTGCTGCAGTGTGAGGGCTTTATCTGCTGCAGGTTAATCCCACACGCGAATTCGAGATGACAAGTAAAACTAGCATTTGTCCAGGACGGTTGAGACAATTTCTAGAAAAAACTAATACAAGTCGTCCTACCGGAACGCTTCGAAACCCGCACCGACGCTGGCAGACGAAGGTCCTAGCTGAAGAGCTCTGAAGTCGAAGCAAACCCTTCTTCGTGAACCAAACTTTACGAGGAGAGGCGAAGCTTGGAACTCATGTGTCGCCTGCGACTAATCTTGCCAAAACGATTCAGACCATTATCTGCCCATCTTCCTGCCCTCTAACTGCACGAAGCCCGCTCTAACCCGACGACTATTTATGCGCAATCTACTTGTGACGCTCCACAGTCCACTCCACTGCAAGTCCTGCGGAAGAATGGCAAAGAGCATCCCGGCTCTGCAAATCCTGCATTGACCAGCAACTGAGCGGCGCCCTCGGCTCCCGGCCTTCCCTTCCATTCCCTTCCCTTCCCTTGCAGCACCCGCTTCTCCTCCTCTCGCTCAAGAAGCTCACTCGTCCGCTCGGCGCTCGCACCAAACACTCAAAAATCAGTCGAGCTCCTCAGACTTCCTCGACCTCCGACTCCCCGGCTCCCTGTCGCGTCGACCCAATTCGACCAGCAGCAGATCGTCCGCTGCCCTGCTCTGATCGCGACTGCGTGTGCTCGCCTCTCTCTTTCTCCTCCCTCAGGCTCTCTCCGTGTCCCGCGCAAGACAGAAATGGCACAAGGCTCACGGGCAATCATCAAAGCATGCAGTTTGAAGCAACCCTATGAATTACGAAATGCTCGCGTCCGTTCTGATGTCACATTCATCTCATACTGAACCAAGATTTTCTCTGTTGCCGTCCGTAGTCATGTACAGGTTGACCGGCTCTACGGTAGGTGCCGGACCCCGCGACATAACGAACAGAGATGACCTCCATGGCCAAAAGACTTCATTTCATTTCGATTCCCTTTCCTGTATTCTTACAAAATCTTGGAAATCGATTGTGAAGGAAGTCGACAAAGAAGAAAAATGACTTACAGTTCCAGAAGCGTGGTTCATCTTTTCGTTTGTGTTATATTTGATCTACGGAAAGGCAGTCGTTGCATAGAAAGATCTATACATCATCAAGGAATAAGAATATGTACTACATCTGACGAACACCTCTCCTGGACATGGCAACATTGGTCCAACACTGAACGAGAAACCATAAGGCACGCCAAGATTCATTCAGAGACAATTGGACACGCTTTTGCGTGGGTCTCTAACATCTGGGCAGTCTGTGACCCGAGCGGGAGTAAGAGAGATGGAAGCTGGGGCTCTCGCAGAGGACCGCTGGGACCATGTCGAAGGCACGTCCACTCGAAGCGCGGAGTCTCTGATCTGGGCTCCTCGGCGGAAGCCAGGGGAGTCTGGGGGAATAATGTGGACGGCACAGCGTGAGCCGGGAGACCGAGCAGCGATCACTTCCCGCTCCGCGCAGTCAAGGGACCGCGTGCTTGAATGCTTGCCAGCGATTATCCGACGTGAGCAGCTTCCTGCAACCTCTCTCTGATCTTTTTCTGCTTGTGGTCGGATATGATAAGCGCACCTGTGAGTAATGTTGACATGTTGAAATTTTGTCTTTGGAAATTGCTTGAAACTGTATGATGGCCTAGCCCTGACTACTGGAGGCATTGTATTCTCGATTTAGCGCAGATGTTCTTCCATGGCATGTGGGGTTAGTTACGATTCTTTTATTCACATGAAAACAGCCTGGTGGACACAGGCCAAGGCAAAATCCTTTAGACCTATCTGAAAGTTATCTAAATCTATCTGAAAGTTTTCTGCTTTATTTCCGTTCCTTGTGTGTGATCAGGCATATAAGCTGAGTTTCACAGCAGCACTCTGTTGGTTTCTAGTCCCTGCCCTTCCGGTGTAGAACTGTATTGAGAGAAATTTGAGACCTGGTCACGACCGGAAAGCAGAGGTTGAATGTAAGGATTCTTACCTCTCGAAGATGAATAACAGAAGGCTTTACTTTCAAAGGTGGTTTCTAAAACCTTCCCTTAGAAGATCAACAACCTCCAAACTGGAATTGCACAACGAGTATAATTGGCAAATAACAGCCACATGCAGAAGCAAAGGGCATATCGTAGATTCAGTTCTTTCAGAGATGAATACATAACTCTTGATGGTTATCTACCAAGGAGTACACCAATCGAAGTTTGTGATATGTGGCGAAAACCTATGTCACCATCTCTGCTCAGGGACCCCAACCATGCGGAAGAGAAGGGAAGAGTTAATATTCGGAAAGCAAAAAAAGCCTCACGGCTTGTAGGGAGGAATCCACAAAGAACAAACTGTCCTTGTGCATCAAACGATTTCTCCAATAAAGCAAGTAACGAGATGAATTCTCAGCTGAACTTTGATCTGAACAAGAAAAGTAGATTGCGGAATGTCAACTCATAGATAGACATACTTACCCTGTTACGCATCAATTTTTGAGCAACAGTATTTGGGAACCATCACATTTCAGATCTATATTTTAGTAGGGCTCGCTTCGGGGCTGCGTTCGTGGTGCCGAGTGTAATAACCCACTAAAGGCTAAAACTGCAATATAGTGGTAGAAAGGTCGAACCCACAGGGACAGAGGAACACACAGGGTACAAAGTGTCACGTTTTAACAGACTATTGAGGAGTTTGAATTCTCAGGCAACTGTCACTCCCAGAAATACTGCAAGTGTCCACTCGGAGCGCACTCGGAGGTCGCACAGTGCAGCGTAACACACACACACACACACACCTGAAACTACAGAAACACAACCCAGAGATCCGTTAGGACCTCTACTTCAAGATTTCAGGGGGAAAGTCTCTCACGAGCACACTCGGCAAAGCTGCGGGCAGTGACTTCCAACTCCGGCTTTTACAACGCTTCCACTAGCTTGCTGCTAGTGTAGGAAACCCGGTTTGGACTACCTACTTCGGATCGAAGTCACTCAGACGCGGTGAACAACACTCTCAACTCACAAAACGCGCAGAGAACACAGGTCCACACTGAAGGACTCACTGTGAAACATTCCAGTAACACAACAACAGTCTATTGAAGAGTTTGAATTCTCAGGCGCTTGTCATTCCCAGAAATACTACAGGGGTTACCCTCAAGGCACCTGCTGCAGCGTAACCTGAATTTACAACCAAGGCTTACACGAAGTAGCAAAACTTCACTTTGGCATTCAGGGGAAAAATCCCGAAGGAGTTCAACCAGAAACCAACACTCGAAGGTGTAGGGGCGAAACTGTTCAAGTATCTAACTAGTCACTGGCTCTTAGCATCGGCAGTCACCCGCAGGTGGAGATCCGAACTAATCAAGTCTCTAACCAATGTACTAGCTCTAAACATTCGGCCGAAGGCCTTCAGCTACAAAATGCGGAACGCTAGGTTGTAACTCCTCTTGCGTGGTGACAGAACTTAAGGACACAAACACGCAGAGAAAATGGGTTCCTGATCTGCACTTCTGATGTTGGGAAAGATCCCAAGGCAAAATAGTTCAAGGCAAGACGCCTTGAACTATTTTATACCTTCTAAATCCTAACTAGCACTACACTGCACTACGCTACACGCCTGCACGGAACCACGCTACACTACACTCCGCGGAACCTGTGCTACGTCTCCTGCGCGACGGACTGCCGCGCACTAACTCCCTTCCCTGCCAGTCTTCCGCTCGACTGCGCAGTCCCAACCGCTGCAACGCCGCGGACACCTCCGCCTCGAGGGTGGACATGGTATCCTGCGCCTTCGACAGAAAAGCGTCGAGCTTCTTCGCTACCTTCCGCCGACTCCTGCTGTCGCCTGTCAACAACCCGGCTGCGCGAAGTTCAAACTCACGTAGTGTGAGTTTCTCCTGCGCCGCCACTTCCCAGTGGGCGTAGCCCTTGAGACAGTGGGCGACACGCCTCGCCGTCTCCTCCTTCGTGCGATGTGCCTCTCGCCTGCGATCCTCTTCAATTACCACTAATTGCGATTCGGCCTCAGCACGCTGCGCTCTCAATTCGCCACACTCTGACTGTAGCCTGCGGATTAAATCCTCATCCGCCTGCCGTGCGAGCTGACACTCCGCCAACAAACGCGTCTGTCGCACGAGCTCCTCTGACAGAATCTGATTCTGAGTTTTCTCAGACATCAAATCCTGCGTGGTCTGCAACACATCCCTGGTGAGCTCTTCCACTCTATCCTTCCGCATCCTGTCGAGGGCGTGCGATTTCCTCTCAAGGTTGTACTGCCCCCATAAATAGGCATGCCTCTCCTTTAATTCCTTCAACTCCTGGTCCACCCTAGCTAGTAGCTTGCTAGTGTGGACTTTAGTGCGAGTCCGCCTGCGCACTAACTCGATGTAAGATCCCGGGTGAAGTGGATCGGCGTATTTATCGATTTTGCGATCCAAGTACCTCAGCAACGGAATCACCTGCTCAGAGAGCGCCGCCGCCGGCGCTCCAACGATTTCCTCCTCCTCCTCCTCGGTATCCCCCGCTCCCGACATTTCTTCGGTGGAGCCTCCATCGTCATCATCCGAGTGGAGGATTTCATCGCCATTGATGGCGTTGGCGACTGTCCCGAGTGGGGCTGCACGTCGTCGACGTGTGCTGCCTGCAAAGGCACCGCTGCAGCCTCGCTGCTCTTTGCCAAAATGTCTAAGGCGGTGGGTGAATGTGCCCGTGCTACATCCCCGTCGCCCGCTTGTTGGTCTTCTACCGTATCCTTTGTGCCGCCGACGTCCGCCGCCGAAGGCGATCGAGCGGAGGGTGTATGCGCGGGGTTTGATTGCGCATAGCGCACCGAATTTTTGTCCCGCGGACAGTCAGTCCGCTCCTCTATCACGTGTTGCTTCCTCGATCGGTCTTGCGCGAGGGCTGTGTCCGGCCTGTGCACAGGCGCAAATGCCGGCGCCTTGTCCGCCGCAGGCGCAGCGCCGCGGACGTCTATTGCCAAAGGCGACATAGCCGGGGGCCGCTCGCCCGATGTCCCTTGGCCCTGAGGCCCTACCGCCGAAGGCGCATCTACCGGCGGACTACCCGCCGATGGTGCGGCCTCCGCACGCTCCCTGCTCGCATCTCCTCGGCCCGAAGGCCTTGGCGCCGAAGGCGCAAATCGCGGCGCGTTGTGCGCCGGAGGGTCTGGCTCCGAAGGCCGGTGTCTCGTAGGCGGATCTTCCGCCGGCTCCTTCCCCTTCCTACGTTGGAACGGGGGTGATTCCTGCCTATGCACAGGCGGCACGTGTGGAGGTGACCTGTGCACAGGCGAGCGCCTGTGCACAGGCGGACTGCTTCTTCCCACGCGTAGGCGTAGGTCCACGTCCGCTTGTGGTCGTCTGTCCGTCGAGGCTCGCCCGTCCGTCGAGGCTCGCCTGTGCGCAGGCGGAACACCTGTCCCCAACGCACGTGGTAACTCCGGAGGCCCTTGGTCCGTAGGCGGCCTCTCGTCCGTCGAGGCTGCAACGGGGTCCGTTGCTCCTGCGGACGTCCGCGCTCCCTCGTTCTTCTCTGGCGACGCACTTCCTTTCTCCGTCGCAATCGTCGCCGTGTCCGCGCTGCTGGCTTGTAACACAAGCCTGCGCGCCTTCTGCTTCGGCCGGCAGCACGGCCGCGGTCGAATGGGAGCAGTGGGTTCTTGATGCTGCTCCTCTTCGGACTCCTCTCTCCATCGCCGCTTCCGCGGCACTCTTGCTGCAGGAGTATTTCTCCCCTCGTCCCTCCGCCTTGACGGAGTAGAAGTCGGTGACTCCTCTGCATCAGTGTCGACCTCATTCTCCCGCACATACCTCCCGGGATGGTCGACGGACAACGGCGGAAAACGAGCAAGCTCCGCCGCTGTCAAACAATTCCGCTGTCGATAAAAATTGATGAGGAAAGGAGAGAGATGATTTAGAGTCCCCCCCTTCTCCTCAAAAGCGTGCTGTCGCATCACCCTGTGAAGGATGCTCGCCCAATGAATTGGAGTTCCCTCGATGATGCACTCCACAAAAGAGACCTGCCACAATGTGATGTAGTAGGCGCGGTGTGGCTGCAGTAATTGCAGCAGCGCCGTAGACAAAGTCCGGCGGAATCGATCCTTGTAATCGCGGGTCTTGTACCCATTCTTGGTAGACTTCCCCTTCTTGAACAGCTCCTTAAATTGCGCCTCTTCCTGCTTGGTCACCTTGACGCTCTCACTATCGAAGAGGAGGTGCCCTGGCATGCCGGCACATCTCCCCAATGCCTGCGCCCAATCTTGGACCGTCCACCGATCGACATGCGGACGCAATCCGCGCGAAGGTGGTCCCTGTGGCTCTAGCCACTCGCGCACCATATCCACACAGATGTAGTTCCATCCCCATAGCAAGAAATCGAGCTTTCTTGCTATGAGGCGCTCCTCGAAAGCGCGCAGCCCGTTCTGTGGTAGTCGGAGCGGCAGCATCCGCAATCGGCCCAGTCTCGTCATTGCGTTCTTGGAGTTCCCCCGCTCGCTCATTCTCCTTCCGCTCCGCTCGAGCTCCTTTCTTCCTCGGCAAACTCTAATCTCCCTCAATTCCAAATCACGCGCACT